ATCATAGAATATCTGAAATAATGCCATTTCAATATTTAATTTCTTCATTAAGGGCAATTTATATAAAATTTTAGGCTCAATCTCTTTTCAGAGCTTCAGATTTCACATCAAATATAGCCAGTTTTCAATCTATTTACCATGGGTGTTAAGAATAACTTTTTTTTTTTTTTGAGAGAGAGAGAGAGAGAATTTTAATATTTATATTTTAGTTTTCGGTGGACACCACATCTTTGTTTGTATGTGGTGCTGAGAATCGAACCCAGGTCGCACACATGCCAGGCGAGTGCACTACAGCTTGAGCCACATCCCCAGCCCAAGAATAACTTTGATTAAAAAAAAAACAAAAAAAAACAGCAAAAGTTTTTATTTAAAAAAAAAAAAAGTAAAAAAGGTTTGACCACTATTCTAGAAGTGTGTGATACTGAATTATTTTAAGTAAGAAGTGGATAAATAGCCATGTGGTTTATAAATTGAAAGCCAGTGAAAGTTTAGAATGAAAGACAAAGTATAATAAGAATTTTCAATTATTTAAATCAGAGTGTTCAACTTGCTCATTAGCAAGAGATTACCTTCTTTCTGTCATAAATATTTACTGAATACCTAGAAGCCCATGTACTTTATAGTTCTATTAGAAAACCTTAAATCCCTATTTTTTTAAGCCATAGTCAATTTGGATAAATTTTTGTAGCACATTTTGTGTTCAAATTGGTTAAACCTACTTTTTGACTTGAAATTCAGAGAACATATGGCTCTGTCAACTCCAGTAGAAACTGAAAAGTATTTTTCCATAAAGCTCTAATAAGAACAAGGAAAAAAGATAAAAATGAATGTTCCCAAACCTGTTTATGTAGTTAGCTGTGTTTATGCTATGCTTGATAATTTCTTTATCAAGATAATGCAGTGTTTCAACATGAGTTGCCCTATTAAAACTGGTATTGGCCAATGTAAAAATATGGACACTCTGAATCAACTTTGTTCTAAATTATTTATATAATAGGTTTAACCAATTTGAACACAAAGTATGCTACAAAAATTTATCCAAATTGACTATGGCTTAAATGTTCCTAATATGCGGTCAAAGAGGGGTTATGCTGTTTGTGAACAAATATATTTTATTTAAAACTATATGATTATTGCCCAGTCTCCATTTGCAAAAAATATAGCTTCATTAAATCTCTGGATGAGGTTTTCAGTTACAAAACAGTAAAGGTAAAATATTCTCTCAGAATTCAAATTGGAAGCTAAGTTTTCTTAGCATCATATATAAACTACCTGATACATATGGTATATTATTTGCGTGTGTGTGTGTGTGTATACATGTACTTATATACATAATACAAACATACACACACACACATATATATGGGATCAACAAAATCATAAGGCTCTATGATTTTGATCATATGATCAACAAAATCATAAGGTTCATGTTTTTTAAACAGTTTGAAGCAAAAAAGTAAATAAATGATAAAATTAATAATAATAAAGAATCTACATTCTTTTTTTTTTTTTTTCTGGTTGTATACAAAGTATATTCACACCAATTCGTGTCTTCATACACGTACTTTGGGTAATAATTATCATCACATTCTACCACCATTTATAACCCCATGCCCCCTCTCTTCCCCTCTAACCCCTCTGCCCTATCTAGAGTTTCTATTCCTCCCAAGCTCCCTCTCCTATCCTACTATGAATCAGCCTCCTTATATCAAAGAAAACATTCGGCATTTGATTTTTTGGGATTGGCTAATTTCACTTAGCATTATCTTCTCTAACTCCATCCATTTACCTGCAAATGTCATGATTTTATTCTCTTTTACTGCTGAGTAATATGACTCAGCGGTAGAGCACTTGCCTCGCATGTGCAAGGCCCTGGGTTCAATCCTCAGCACCATATAAAAATCCTCAGCACCACATAAAAATAAATAAAATAAAGTTGGGGGCTGGGGATATAGCTCAGGCTTGCCTCCCATGCACAAGGTCCTGGGTTCAATCCCCAGTACCACCAAAAAAGAAAAGAAAAGAAAAAAAGAATCTACATTCTATGACTACAATTTTTTTTTGTTTATTTTGTCCACTATAACCCTAGTGCCTAGAATAGTGCATAGGACACAGTAGGCATGCAATAAATATTTGCTGAGTGACTCAATGAAAATCATTCTTGAATGCTACTGTGGGTTCAGTACTATTCCCATTGCTTGATATTTATTTCACTTAATCATTATAATTCTATACAACAGATATTATCATAATGCCAATTTGCAAAAATGGACATTAAGGCAATCAATGGTTAAATTATTTGCCCATAATCAGATTACTGAATATGAATATTCAGTAGTAATATTGAATATTACATTAATAATGAATAGTGGAATAAGAATAATAAGTATAAATCTGAATATTAAAAATCAAAGCCTTAAAACATCACTATTATACAAAAAAAAAAATCTAAAATTTGTCTGACTTTACAGTATATTTTCAGAGAGACATAAAGACCCCTAGATACATGTAAACAATGTGTGCTAACTAGTGGTTATTAAATTCAAATCAATGTATTTGTTGAGAATATACTATATGCTTAAAGCCAGTTTAAATACTTCATAATATAAAAATAGATTTCATAGTCCCTTGCTCAAGAAGTTTTACACATTGTTCTGGTGAATAAACATTTTGGATTTTAAAATTAAATGAATTTTTAAAAAAATAATTATATTCCAGAAAGTAGTTTCTGTATGTTACACATGTGTTTCTATTCTAGGACACACATCTAAGGAAAATAAAAATAATTTACCTGGTTCAATAAATAAAGAATCTTTGTAAGAATATGCAAACATCTTCTTGGATTGATGGGGGTTTCATTGAATATACGAGCCTACAGAAACATGCAAAATATTACTGTTACATATAGTGTATTTTCTACCTTTTTCTAAATCAGAATACAACAAATCAACTTTAATAATGAAGACTTTTAAAATACAATATCCAAAGAATGTTAGTTGTCTCTAGTCCTCAGTTTACTATGGTAGCTGATAAATTATTAGATACGGCCTTGATTTTCCAGCCTGTATTTCCTAATTCATTCCCTAAGGTCTACTACAACTTTATGGGCTTTATCTGTTAAGAAAGAGTCAGAATTTTTACCTACCTCATATGAATGCAAAATGCTCAATATCTAACTTCTTCTAACAACCTTGCACTAAACACCTCTTTTCACATTTTATTTAATATTACCAATACATGGCAGAGCCTGCATGTCTTTGCACTTCTCTCAGCTTTAGATTCTCCTGTGACAAGTCCTCTTCCTTCTCCCTCCAGTTTATATGCTCTGCAATCAGTTACATTCCTTAATATTTATTTCGGAGGTCCTGACTCTAGTATCCCAGAGGTTCTCTGCCCGCCATTCTAAAACAGAAAAGAGGCAGCACAATGTAATTCCAAGTCATACCTCCTGTAAGACAGCACTCTTCTCCAGATGCTGGAAAGGATTGGAACCACTACCTATAGCATAAAACAAAAGAAATGTCTTCAGTAGCTATCCTACATACTTATTTTCTAGAGAAGGGTACTGAATGCTTTAGAAATCTCACCTAAGTGAGACCTCACTTGGCTACTACAGTGATAGTCATTACTAGTATGTATATAAATTGAATAAAATCATTTTGATACGAGTTCTGTCATTTGACACAGTGTAAGAGGTTGGACTTCTCTTTTGCAGGAGTGTCTTCATTCTCTACCCTCTTTTTTATTCCCATGAATGTTTATAAATATGTGTCATTTCCACAACAACCAAGATTAATGAGATTATGGTAGGGAACTTTTGATTTTCCTAAAAGCAAGCCTTATTTTATGTGTTTTTAACATTTACTGAGAGGCAGAATTGGAAGAGTTTTGCAAAGAATTACATAAACAAAAAGTTGGATGGGGCCGTGGAGGTTAACTACCCCAACCCTCTTAACGCACTACGTGAGAGTAGCCACTAACACTGACAATTTTTTTTCTTTTTTGAGGTGACTTGGCATATTCCCGGTTTGCCTTGGACCACAGGCGGGTATAAAGACGCAAGTCACTTTGGGATGCCTGAGCGTTAGTCCATCAGTGTCCCAAGGGGCAGGTTGCCCCCCCCCCCAGGAAGATTAGAAGGTACAGACACCTCAAAGTCCATACATACGCATACGCTGCATCGTCTACCCCAGCCCCGAGAACAGGGCGCTCCCATTCCGAGCCTAACCCCACCAGCAACCCCCACGCTGCCGCAGAGAGCAGCGCACGCACTCCTTAGCCCCCGCCAGGAGCCCTCCGGGAAGCAACACGGAGGGGCTCCGTCGGGGGCGGGAACGGGGGTGGGGACAGGGGCCGGGGCGGAGCCGCCCATCAGGCCCAGGCAGCGCCGCGCGCCGAAGCGGGAGCGCGCGGCCCAAGGGGAGGCCCCGGCACCCGGGGGAGGGGCTACGGGCAGGCCCCCGGCAGGAGCGGACGGCCCCTCGCACGGCGGCGCCCACGCCCCCAGCCCCGCCGTTCCGGAAAGCAGGTGGCGGCGAGCGAGGGAAGGGGACCCCCGAGGCTGAGATTGAGAGTCAGAAGCCCCGCGCGTACCAGACTCTTCGTCCTTCTTGTCGAATTTTTTAATCATCTTGGACGACTTCCCAGCGCCCAGACCCACAGCAACCGTCCCAGGCGCCGCTGCCGGCAAGCGGAAGAGGCTGCAGGAAGGCCGGCCCCGTGTTCTCTCGCCGGTTGGGCCTCCAGGCCGTCACTCGGGGCCAAGGCCCGCCCTCCCGGGCCGTTGTGGCCGCCTTCGCCCCCTGGGGACGTAGCCACGCCCTCCCTGGCCGCGCGGGGGCGGGGCCAGGCGCTGCCCCAGGGGCTTGTCCCGCCCACCCAGCTCGCGCCTCCGCAGCCCACGCCTGCGGCAGCTGCAATGTGATTTTATTTGGTCAGCGATTTCTGCAGACTCCTCCTATCCCTGGAGAACTAGGCGGGAGGCCTTAAGAGGTTTTTTTTCACTTAATGACAGTGGCATTTTTGATAATCCACTGTTGAGCCTTTCCGTTGCGGAAGGAGCTTTCCCCTGGCACGATTCTGGTGGGCTTCTCTTCTAGCAGCGATGAAAGTGTGAGTGGTTCCCAAAGCATCTGGGGAGTCAGCATTTCATTCACAGACTTCTTGGAAACTACGACAAAGCACAGGACACCTTGGTGAATGTGCATTTCCAAAAGTAGTAGAGGAATACTTACTGAGTGGCACGGAAGGTCCAGAAACCTGATCTTTACTCTTTATCAAGAGTAACTATCATTTCCAACCTTCTTTATAATTCTGGATCCTTACTCTTCATCAAAACCCAGTTTAAAGTATATTGCCAGTTTAGGATCTTCTTTGCCTGGTCCCACCCCTTTTAAATGATTTCCTCTGCAATTATATTGACACTTCAGTCACAGTTATTATCATGCACTCATTCATGTGCATAAAAGGCCTTTACTCAAAATGTATGTTCTATTGTCTGAGACTGTGACAAACTTTTGCTTCATTTGGCTTCAGTGATACCACTTTAGTCAGGCTCTTTTTCAATCTCCACCTGTTCTTTGCAAGTTTCTATCGTGGGATCTTCTTGCTCCTGCCTTTCCCCACTTTTGGACACTTTTTGCCTTGTAAATATCCCTTGAATCTGTACGCTTATTCCAAACTGCTCTCACCTTGGTTCAGGTCCTATGGTTGACCTCTTACCTTCCTTAATTAAACTTCACAGCTTCCCCCCAAACTGTTCTAAGTGTACTCTTTCCTGATTTGGATGCCTGATAAACAAGGGGCATTATGGGGGGGGGGGGGTTGAGGAGATATTAGCTGTTCTTTTGCTTTAAGTGAGAATACTGGTTCAACTCTCCAGCAGATTCATTTTTGTATAGGAAATGCATCATGACAGACTTTATGTACAAAAGCAAACTAAGTATCCTTTGATTTTATTTATGTGTTTTTATTAGGAAAACTGAAAAGTCACCCTAAATCTAAAGAGAAGCTACATACTGAGATATTAAAGAGTTCTCTTTATAATGTAAATTGGGTGCATCCTGTTAAGGATGCATCCTGTGCTCTTGCAAAATTAGAGGAATTCTAATCTAGGTTAGATTCTAGAGAAATTCCCCCACATATGGATTTAAGCTGAACTGCCTCTATCCTACATATGGTATCATTTAAGATTTCACTTCGACTTGACTAAATGGACTATATTAACTATTATATTATCTGACTTATAAAGCTCAAACCATACTTTCCGGGTGAAGTCTCTCTCTTGAAAGAAAAGATACTTGTACATCTGAAATATTCTGGGACTGAAAACAGATATAGTATTTAGGACTTTTTTTTTTTTTTTTTTTGGTAGTACTAGGGATGGAACTCAGGGGCTTAGGGGTGCTCTACTACTGAGCTACATTCCCCAGCCATTTTTACTTTTTAATTTTGAGACAGGTTCTTACTAAATTGCCCAGGCTGACCTTCCTGTGTCAGCCAGTGGAGTGACTAGGATTACAGGCACGTACCACCATGCTCACAGGACAAAAAATTTTAAATCCTTAGGCTGGGGTATAGCTCAGAAGTAGAGTGCTTGCCTAGCATGCACCAGTAGTCCCTGGGTTCAATCCCCATCAGCCAAAGGGTGGGGGAAGGATTTTGCTAAGTAAATAATGGAACAAATAATACATAAATATGTCAAAAACTATGAAAGTGGTAGATGATAGAGTTTGGAAAAAACTGCTAGTGCTTTCTTGAAATTTGAGGATTTAAACTTCTTTTAGTTCTCAGCTTCCTTGCTACAAGGGAAAACAATGTCTAGAACCACCATGACAGGTGCCAATCTGCCCATATCTCTTAATCCCTGTAGGTTCTACCTCCAGCCCACATCTCAGTTCAGTAAACCACTGCATTGAGAGAAAAGAGCTTACCATTTTTCCTCATATCCCTTTCACAGACTGGAGCAAAATTGAGCTGAGGGTACATTTTTTTCTGTTTCTTCAAAGCAAACACTTTTGAATACTTTCCTTCACTTTTGAAGTCATTGTCAGTGGAAAACCTTAACAACGACAACAACAGAAGTTCATTTAGTAGACCCTAGGGCAAGGGGTTAATGGTACCAGTCACTTTAAAGTTGGCTACATCCTCAGAGATTCTGTGGGAGAAGAAGGGACAATGCCAAGAGACTGCCCATAGGGACAGAGAGGCAGTATTAGTCAGCTGCAAGGGACATTTATATTACTTAGCACCATAACCATTGGTGCCAAGTTAACTTGGAAGTAACTTCAAAATCTCTTTCTTCTCTGCAAACTAAATAAAAGTTGCTCCAGTAACTAATTTCAAATAGAACTTCTTTTGTCTTTTTGTTCTCATAGCACATTGCTCTAATTCTATAGTTCTTAACTTGTGCTAAGGGTCCATGTCTTTGGTTTCCTCAAAACACAGATTAGAATACAGCACTTTCCTTCACTCTTGAAGTCTTTGTCAGTAGAAAGCTTTAGTTATGCATTACTGTTTCTCTTCCATTAGCATGGAAATGAAGTTGAAGGTCATGTCGAGAAGCTATTAGACATGTTCCCCACAATCAAAATTTTGTGACAAGCATTCTTATTGCCCCCTTTTTCATACAACCTTATCCCAAGCCCCTTGGAGCCCCCTTTCAAGTTTGTTAAATTGTATAGAGAAGAGACAGTAACACAAATAAGGAAAAGATAGGAAAGAAATTAAGTAAAAAAAAGAGCCAGAATTTCACCTAAACCATTGTTCTCGCTTGGATGTAGGATCGTCTAGCCGTTTCATAGGGAAGATTGGTTTTAGTCTGGATCTTAACTTTTTTTTCTGAGACATCAGGGGCAGGAAGAAGTTCTCACTGGGTTTTTGATTTTGATGAATTTCCTGTGGCAGAGGGAAGAAGAGAAAGTGAGGAAGTCGGCCCAGTCTCTTGGAACTTCAAGGTTGGACCAAGTTCCTGGACTAAGTTATGATTCCCCTAAAACTATGCAACCAAATATATCAAAGTGGGAAGTGGAAACTCAGAAGCCAGAACCATAGGAAGCAGTGCCCTGAGCCGGAAAATATGTATTCTTTCATTGCCAAATGATTTGTCCAAAGCTTGGTCAGTTTCCTAAGCAATTGATCAAACTTGCCTACTGGCCCTTGGAAGTGAATGGCAGAGGAAGTTGCCCAGTTTGGAGAAGGATTCTATTAGTGAATTTGTTAACAAGTTGAGAAATAGATCCCATATGGAACTCTACCTTCCTTTTTTGGAGATGATTATGTTATCCACATTACTTTCTCCATCTACAGGGATAGGGCCATGGAATGGGATATTTTGTGAGGTAATAATTTCATCATTCTTAAAGGTCATAGAATTGAGGATTTTCAGTCTTAAAAGTTATCCTGTATGACTGTTCATCTGATACTTTTATCCCCTCAATTTCATTATCAAGTGATCAGTCTTCCTATGCTTCAAAACAAAACATAAAATAATTTCATCTTTGATCAGCTATCTCCCTATAACTTTTACCCAGTAATCCAATCAGAGCAAATCTAATGCCTCTTTCACAGACAAATTTTTGAAGAAATCTGTCATGTTCCTCCTAAGCCCTATTTCTTCCAGGCTGAACATTGCCAATATCTTGAAGTTTTCCTCATATGACATGGTTTTGTTTCCCTTATTCTCCTGATTTATCTCATTTGAGAAAGTTACAATTTATATTTTCCCCCAACATGTGGCAATCTGAAATAAAAACTATATTCTCACCTTAGGGATTGCATGACACCAACCCCATTTAAAGTGTCTACTAAAAAATCATTATCACTTCTGATAACCTTCCCTAACTACACTATCTAAAGTTGTCATTCACAGTCCATCCATTTATCTTGCTTTGGCATGGTGTCTATCATGTTATGTAGTTTCTGTATGATGTTTAACTTCCTTATGGTCTGTCTACCTCGCTAGAATTAAACTTCATTGAAACAAAGACTGGTTAGTCACATATATACATATACATATATATTTTTGGGGGGACCAGATATTGAATTTAGGGGCACTCAACCACTGAGCCACATACCCAAACCTATTTTGTATTTTATTTAGAGACAGGGTCTCACTGAGTTGTTTAGTGCATCACCATTGCTGAGGCTGGCTTTGAACTTGTGATCTTCCTGACTCAGCCTCCTGAGCCACTGGGATTGCAGGCATGTGCCACTATGCCCAGCTAGTCATAATATATTGCTACTACCTCTAATGGTGCTTGGCACATAATAGGTTCTCAACAAATATTGTTTGAATGAATGAAAGAATGAATGAATGACCAACCTATTCATTGTCATGTCAAGCTTTTTCTTTCAGAATGTTAAGTCCTTTAAAGCTGCTGCTGAACCATGATTTCTTAATTCTGAACTCATTGTCTTTAATTGGTTTTAGTTTTATTAAAATCTATTCAAGTTACCTCAACTAATAGGTGTTTTAGTGAAAGAGCAAATGTGTCTAGGAAGTAAAGACATAGCCAATGACTCAGCCATTAAAAAGAGCAGAAACCTTAGTAGAACTGTATTTCATGGCAAAAAAAAAACAAACTAAAAAGATATTTGGAGTCCAAAATGGCACTATAAAAGATCCACCATTTTGACTCTCGCATATCACTAACATGTCCCTCCTACTTTCTCCCTGCTTCCTTCTTCTCTACCTTGTTCATTCCTCTCTCTCTTTCCCCTACCTTCTCCTTCTGTATTTCTATTTTCCTATAAATTCAACCCACCCATACCCTACTTTCACGGCCCCTGCAGTACCCCTCTTCCTCATGTTTTGGTTCATGGCTTTACTCTGTGAGTCCTTTCTGCTTTCATTCTTACTGCTTTCCCAATTCAGGTTGCCTGGAAGCAAGAATCTGAGTCGCTCAGGAATGTCAGTTATTACTAAGCTGGTTGACTTCTGTTTTGTTTGGGTTCATTTTGGTTTGGGGGTACCAATCCATACCACAGATCACTAACCAGACTATGAATTATGCTTCACTGGGTCCACTATCCTTCTCTGGTCCATGCTAGAAGTAGAAATAGGTCAAATTGTACAAAACAGAATAGGGGATATTCCCTTTTTCAGGAGACTGTGCGAAGAGCCATTTCACTTAAAAGGGACTGTAACAGTCATCACTGTGATAGACACACTAGTATCATTCTACAATTTGCCTACTGGAACCCACACTCTTCTTCTACAGGACCTGGGCAAAGTAAAAGAATGCTTTTCATGTATACAATACTAAATTCACAAAAGATTGTCTTTCCCAGTCAGGGAATGAGAAGATGCAGCACGAATATTAAAGAGCCATTGTAGATATTGCAAAATCAGTCTTTAACAATCAGAGCCTAACTTTGTCTATTAATTCAATTTAGTCAGTTCCACAATTTGCTCATGAATATGATCAGGTTCTGCACCTGACCAGCTGTTGGAAGAAAGCTCTTCCTGCACCAGGTTACATGTTAGCCTTGTATTTCCTTCTCTGTGTTGAGCAGGGCAATCCTAGCCTGGCATTTATTTCTCTCTCAGTGCACATTATACCCATTAACAGGAGAAATGACCTCTGCATTTACTTTCAAAGTGCACCCGAGAGACCACAAGCAATGAATTCATTAATTCCTTTGTCAGTATATTCCATTAGATATTAACATTTTATCTTCTACTTGAAGAGGATACTCTGATTGCTATCCATCTAGGAACTAAGGAAACACTGACTCCAAATGCACCACATTTTATTATAAGTGTCTCTCTTGGGATACCGCGTTTCCAGAATCTAATTTCTATCAAGATTCTTTTGTTTGCACTTTCACTTATCTCATTTAATTTCTTCCTGTTAGATTAAGCCCTCTCTCAAGGCTGTCAAGATCTTTCTTAGATCCTGATGCCTAAATATCTCTTAAATCAATTTGCTTTATTTCCTCTGCTATTGACTTAGTTCAAATATTCAGTATCTCTCATTTTGACTATTATAGTAACATGAAAACTAATCTTTCTAGTTTTTGTCTCTTGGATTACTAATGCACCTTCTTCAACCTGCAAAATGCTCTTTCTAAAACGCAAATTTGATTACATCCTTTTATCTCCTACCATTTACTCTCTACATCTCCCTGAATGTGCCTGGCTTTCTCACGTCTCCATGCCTCCACACGCTTCCCTCTGATTGGAACATTCTCCTATTCTTTTGTCGTGAGTCACCTCCTTGATTACTCCCTTTTCCCCAACAGAGGTACTGTTCTCTATTCTATGTTACTTCTATATCTTGTCGATTCTTCAATTATTCATATATCCTGGTGGGTTAGAGTTACTTTTTTATATCTTACTTTTTTTGATCTTTTGGATTCCAACTTCCTTCAAGATAGAAACTGTCCTGTGATCCATCTTTATAATCTGGTTCTTACCTTATTGAGTGCTCAGCAATTGTTTATTGAATGGCATTTGAACATCTTTAACCTATAATGGAGTTCCAAATGTCTATCTGTGGTAATGGTTAATTTCCTTTTCCCCTCTCCTATCATCCAGAAGCAATGGGTATAACTCAATTGACTCTCTTCTCATTTAGATATCCGCTTTTCTTCATTACTCATTTCCTGATTCATCTTTTACTATTTTATTCTCGATTACAAAGCCCGTGGACAGTTTCCCCTTTGTTACAAATGTCTTTGATCAAATACTCAAGAAGAACACTTTCTAATTTACACCCCATCTTCTCCCTGAAATAAAGTTTCATGACTTAAGCTGATAGAATTCCTATTCTGCCTATTTGCTGAGCCCTCCAGATTCTGTTTTGTGAAGTATATATCCAGAAATGAGAAGGAAGAGGTAGTTTCCTGAGTACCATTCTCCATGTTGTTAGTTCCTTAATCCAGATTAATTAATTAATTCCTAATTCTTCAGAGTTCATACTTGAGTTGCCAGGAAAATCCCTGGGTGCCTTACCTCGAGCAGTAACTTCTGGGAAAAGTATTTTGGAGTGCCATCCTTTTCCTGCTGGTTGATTGAGTAGGGAGGTGGGTTATTGGTCATAATCAGTAAGGTCAAATCCTGATCAAACTCGGTTACTTTTAACATGAAGCTGGTGGTTTTCCTGTTTTGATCCAGGAATTTCTGTAGTACAGTGGATTTCAAAGGTTCATAGTACCGGGCCTGAGCAGATAGGTTTCCAGAGAGACAAAGAGATTAGATCAAGAGAAGACTAGCAAACCAACTGACTCATCTTTCTTCTCTGTGGGGTAGAGTGAGAGGTTGAGCAGTGACTGGGAAAATCTGTCCCCAAAACTGTTGATCCAAAACCACAGGAAGCTCTTTGTCCCTGACTTCCTTCAGAGTATTAATTCCCCTGCAAAAAGACCCAGGGGCTGAGGCAAGGCAACAGAAATGTTCACACAGGAACAGGAACAAAATGATTTAATTCTTAAAAAAAAAAAAGTGTAACATAGTGTTCAGCACAGTGGGGCAAACCAAGAAGTTTTTTTGTGACTCAATGTTACTGGTCTTGTCTCAGCCACCATTTCTGAGGCAGAGAGTTTAACAAGGGACCCAAGTCCCTTGCTCAGGGAGTTCTCTAGGAGCATGCGCAGCTTCTCTTACTTCCCACCTGCAGACACCTCTCCCCTGGCACAGCAGCCCTTACAGGCTTTCATAAGCACAACTAGAAAGAAAAGACAGTCAAGAAACACACAGCATGTCACTTAAAAGCGTGGGAGGGCAAGGGCCGGCCCACTAAATTTGCTTTTCCAGCAATAGGATTAGAGAGAGAGGAAGGGAGGGGGAGAACTTGGATTATACATATGTTCTCCCTGATTATAAATATGTTTTCTCAACTTAAAAATTACCAACTGCGAGGACCACTTTCTGCCCAGGTCTCCCCTCCCACCTCACCACCAGGATCCGAGCTCTGCCTCAAACCTTATATTTCCAAGGCTGCTCTGCCTCCCTGTCCTGGGAAGGGGACCGTGGCATTGGGAGGTTATCAGGGAATTAGGGGTACTGTGTGGTGGGCCTCTGCCCTGCTGCTAAATTTGTCCTTAGAGATCTCTTGGGGAAATATTTTTCCACCTACCAAATTTGGATGAACTGAGTAATACCGAAGGTTCTTTAGGACAAATTTGGATTGCCCGGTGTAATCAAAAACCTAAAGGCAATAAAAAGAAATATTGGTTTCAAGTTACTCCTCCTTATCTCACCTTAGTCTCACTAAAAAGGGCTGTCCAATGCACACTAATGGAAAACACTGGCCTTCATGTTTTGCACCCTGGTTTTCTGGAATGAAAGCCACAGCAAGGAGAGCAGGGGTCTGAGAGGGACGTTTGTAAAGGAAATGAAGACCAGACTTATGAAATGTCAGATAAGGCTCTTTCAAGGTGAAGTAGACAAGCATAGCATCCACGCTTAGACAGGGATAAATCCCCAAGGAATCACACCCCTTGCTCTGCCTTTTCCTTATCTATAGGGGTCAGATGGAGTGGCCATCAACCTGGAGGACTATCTTGAAGGAGAAAAGCAAGTTACAAAAGGGCAATAAACTGGGGGTTGTGGATGCTAGGGGGCCATCAGGACAAGTCTGTCAATAGGGCTGGGAACAAACAGAGAAAGGGAGAAGAGAGTGCATTTTGCATTTTTGAACATCTCTCTATGATTCTTCCAAAAACGTTACAAAAAGTAATTGAATTTTAGTATTGCTCTACTACTTTCTATTGTTGCGGTGGTGGTCTAGCTGGTTATTTGTGGATTTTTTAGCATTCTCCTCTGGTAGTAGAGGAGCTGAGCCTCCTTCATCCCCAGCCTCCTGCTCCCAGCAGTGCTACCTCCTTCTTGCTTAGCCCTAGGTTGTTTAAGTATGAACCCAAGGGAGGAACACAAGGAATGCGTTGTGTATGAATATAAGGAGTTGAAAGCTCCGAATTACCTTCTTTTGCCTTGGCAAAGTCAGAAATTTGGGGGGAAATAAAGGTAGGGAGCATGATCCTATTTTTGGATCAGCATTTCTAAAGATAGCTGCACCCACCAGGAGGTGATATGGTTCAGTGTGGCGCAGGGGAAAAGAGACAAGCATGGGAAGGTGCATAAAGCAAGAAGGCAAACTGAGAAGAGGGAAGAAGTCAAGAATGGGACACAAGTGGGAGAGGAGTCGTTACTCCCCTCTGGGAGGAATATTGCAATTCTTGGGGGTTGGAAGAGGATGGAAAGAAGAATACACTCCATTTATTCCTTTTGGAAGGGTGAGATGAAATATGGGACAAATCCAAAGATACAGTTATTTAATTTTTATTATCTTTTGGAAAACCTAAATCTGTTTGTTCAAAACAAAAATATACTATGAAAAGCCTGTTCTGCAAATATATGTAACATTTAACTATTAGAGGTCTAAGAAAAGTTTACTGGGGAGACAGGTATGAAGACTTTTTTTCTTTAAAATATTTTTTTTAATATTTTGAGGAGGAAAAGTCCCTGGGGATTTTTTTTTTTTGTAAATGTCAGAATGCCTTTATTTTATTGATTATGTGGTGCTGAGGATTGAACCAGTGCCTCACATGTGCTAGGCAAGCAATCTGCCACTGAGCCACACCCCAGCCCCTGAAAATGTTTTTAACTCCTGAATTTTTTCTGAGGAATTGAAACTTTGTTCCAAATTAGCTTCCAGTGGTTGACTAAACCCACAAGATTGTCCAAGTTGGAATATGTTTTTAGTTTTATCATGTTGACTTGCATTATTGCTGGCTGATGAAATAAAAGCTGGCCTGGTAAATTCACTTGAATATGACAAAGCTGGGAAAGCAACCAAGAGTTCTGCTACAAGCGGCAGCCATAAAGTCCAGGTAAATCAGGGGTTAACACTCCCTCACTCCCTGAGATAGATTTCTGGTTCCTGGGTTCCGTGCCCTGATTTGTTGCTGATGTTTGTCTCTTTTTTTCCCCCTATGCTTCTGTCTTTCACAAAATGAAGATAAATTAATGTTGTTCTGTATATCAGCTTTTACCCCTTTTACTTTACCACCAAGAAGTCTGTAGCCCCAGCTGGTAAGCACTCCAAGCAAACCCAAAGATTACACGTGAATGCGTGCTACTGCTCTTCCTTACCTCTTCACTATCAGCAGCTATTCCTTTCTCAGGCTTATCTGGCTTCTTTGATAAAGTCTTTGGTTTGCCATTTTGAAACCTGAAAAAGAGACAGAACATCCACCAGCATTTGCTGACTCAGCATCCTGGCCTTCTGCATGTTCTCAGTCTCCTTCAGCTAAGTTTAGGAGCCTAATTTAGATTATTAATTAGGTGATCACAAATTGAATATGTGGTAAAGAATCATATTTGTTATTCAGCCTTCATACTGGAGAAAATTCTAGTTTAAAGGGTTGACTGTGAGACATCTAGGAGATTGACTAACATCCAGATGAATTGTTTTCTTCTAAGATAGAAGTTTTTTTTTTTTTTATTTTTTTATTGTTGGTTGTTCAAAACATTACATAGTTCTTGATATATCATATTTCACACTTTGATTCAAGTGGGTTATGAACTCCCATTTTTACCCC